CTACAGGGATAATAAAAGTAAAAGTTATGCGTCGATCATGAGATCACTCAAGAGAACGCTCACGGACTACCAAGATCAAAATCGACAACAACACAAGATTGCCTCCCCATAGATACTGAGAAATCATATTCATGCTCTTGCAACCTCATTTCCTATTGAAAAGATGATGTAACCACGCCAATATTGTATGGATTGTACGTTATATATTACATTGATGGAATATTCAGGTTAAATTCCAAGCTAGTTACGTAAGACTTCCTTGGCATCGAAGATGATGATTTACCCAAGTCATTGCCCCAACTTTGTGTACTTAATAAGTTGAAGTCGTTATGTAAATTAGATGTCGGACTATGAACATTATGATCAAAGTTAAAATATAGTTGTCTCCAATTTGGGACAGTGGAAGCATCATTATCATCAGAAAAATCTACATATAGCTCAAGTGGCCCTCCTAATGAATATTGCATGTGGAAATCGAGCATCACGTCCACATCACCATCGTTATCAATATTATATATTGAGTAGGTTAGTGGTTCCAACGACGTCAGTAGTCGATACTTCAACGGTTTAAGTTTTTCCCATGACCATGTGAAATATTATTCTTGACTTCTTACGTAAATTTCTTATACTTTAATTTCTTTGACAACATTATCGTCACAGTATGTGTAGACTGAAAGATGATGCCGAGAGATGCATCACACATCATTTTACCATCATAACATACAAAAGTAGTAATATTTCATATTCTCGACATGTTTTGAAAATATCTACGACCATATAAAGAGAAGAATAAGTATGAACAAATACGAACAAAGTTTTAATGACTTCAAACTATGTAATAATCAAGAAGCATCAAATAATCTTATGATTAAAACAGTTGTTGATCAATTCCGTTATCTTTGCCTTCACTTCAGTTTTGTATGGTTCGTTTGTCTTCACTTTATTAAAATAAGGATTCGAATGGAAGTCTAGTTTTTTAAAAAATATATTTTTGGCATGATTTGGAATGGATATATGCCTGCAAAGATTCTTGAGGTGAAGTGGCAAGCAACTCGCATTTTGCAGAATGCAAGTTTTGTAGAGATTTCTGACAGCGTAATAGTTGATTTGATGTGAAATGAAATAGACCTCACGTTATGCAAAGAGCGAGTTCACAGCCATGTCACGTCGAGGTTCTTAGACTATTTAAATTTTCTTTTGTTTCTCCAAACCTAACTATCTCCGTGAAACCTTCTTCTTCCTTCATAAACGATTTATCCATTCTCATAAAACTTTTAGTTTAAAAAAGACATCATTTTCATGTGGCACTATTTCTTTACATGCACTAAAATAGGCACCATAAGTGCCTCTATATCATCAGATATGACTGATATTATTCTTCGTGGTCAAGACAAATCTGCACAACGTGAGGTTCTTATCTACTTCTCAAAAAACTTTTGAGCTTTTTTTAGGTTCTCGTATCGCGTAGAGCAAGGCATCCTTTTCTGGTGGCATCTAGATTTTCGCTTGAGCCTCTCGAGAAATATCTTGCTCCGACAATTAGGTCAAAACAAATACCCTTTAAGAAACATTGTTAAACTTTTTCCTTTGCGTTTTGTATCGATGGGTTTCATTTGCGTTTCTCTGGGGTGTTGGTATTCTTTTATTATAGAAGTCATCATCTTCTTGTGGCAACATCTACTAGTCCCGTGTGCTAAAATATGCATCACATATTAACAACTTCAAGTAATTTTTAGAGTTGTTTACGGCACTACAAGTTATTTACAAAAAATATATTCGTTAGTTTTCAATATTGTTTTGTTTGAAAGCATTTTGAATGCGAATTTTACATCGCTTACAATTTCTCGTATATGTCCATATTATTTTCATTTGAAAGATAAGTTGCAATACTACGCCTCTAAGATCAAACATTACACAAATATTTTTATTAACTTCCCAAAAATACTCAACGAACATGTTTATCAATCCATTTTAGCTTGTTCTTCATGCACAAACCAAGCTTTGGTACCGTTTTGAAATCGATTTTTACCCCGCTTATAATGGCTCGTATGTGTTGATATTAGACTAAACTGAAAGATAAGTTCAAATATTACACATTCATCTTAAAAATTACAAGAATTTTACAATTTACGACTCAAGAGAATACCTCGAACATGTATATAAAGAAAAATGATGTGGGTTGGATTTTACAATTTATGACCTCTCATTTTACAACCAGTGAGGTCAATTCTATCACGTTGTAATTTATTCGATTCAAATTCAACGTTCCTCACGTCCCGTGTAACACAAGTTTTTTCTGACACGTTGCATATTATTCGTTTTAGAGTGTCGCACCTTTTCAATGTACTTCACGTCCTGGAAAATGCGAGTTCCATCGATTCCTTATTTCGGGACGGGTGCGACGACTGTTATAAATAGAGACCCATTTTGGAAGGTTTCCTAAACCTAATTCAAAGAAAAATGGCAAAGAAAATATGTTTTAATATTATGGAGTTATTCTTGAGATAAGTGTTATAAAAAATTATTGTGCATGTCGCTTTTAATTTTATCGTCGATTTCATCAACACGCAGTTGAGTCGCAAGACTTTTCATGAAGCTGCGGATTATAATTACATTTTTCAGAACGTTTCAATGAAAAATTTTGACTTCATACAGTGGAATCAAGCCGAGAAAACATTTCACGAAATGTGCCTTACTGCTAATGGTTGTGGGATCGAGTCCCACGATGGGCAATTCATAATTGCTGTAGGTCTTCCACGGAAGTTGATCTCAACCTAGCGTTGGGGGCAGCATATTACCCTACCTCCCCCTTACCCCATTACATATGGGAAAAAGAGTCAGCTAATTTATTTTCTATAGAGACGACATGTATAATTATTTTAGTGAAAGAAATTCGAAGTTCAGTCTACATTGTTTGAAGAAAGCAACCAATCAAGTTAATATCAACGCCATATATGTCTATGGCGCTATTCTAATTTATTGTAGGGGCGAATTAAGGGATGAAGGACTTCGAATCTTGAAACCTCTTGATCTCGTGAATTCTAAGAAAATAAATTTAGAAGTTATTCGTAAGGAGATGAATCCATTTTTATGGTTAATATCATGGCATTGTCACAACATTGCCTTTCTAGAACAAATCGAAGCTTGCAATTATCCTACTAACTATCCACATAATTCATACCACCAAGTTTGGCAAATAGACTATAACAATCTATGTACTTGTTATGATTCTTTTTTTTGGACCATGAAACAATTTTGCTTTGTAATATTTTATATAGATATAGATATTGAATTTTTATTTTAATTAGTATTGTCTATTTATAACAATATAATTTTTCTGTTATTTTATTATATATTTTCCAATAAAAATATAATGATTAAATTTAATTCGAAAAGGAATTGCATACCTCACGTTTTGTATCACGCGAGGTATGTTAAATATCACACGCGATAACTAACAGTGGTTGATTCAATTGGTAAGCAACTTGATATCGCTTAAGAAAGGTTTAGTCAAAGTGAAGCTTTGGAACTGGGAGGACAACAAAAAAAACACCACACGCGATAAATTTTTTGGGACGTTTCAATATATTGGGAACCTCACATTCTGCGTAACACGAAATCATTAATTGAAATATTAAATTACACTCTCTAAAAAGTGTATCAATGTTGAATGAACCTCACACCTTGTATAAGGCAGGATCTTTTCTTGTTTTTATTAGGACGCGAGGTAATCTTATGTGAATAATTTATAATATTTTTATAACAAATATGATTTGAGATATTATTCTAAAAAAATAATTTTTGAGGTTTTAGCTAACAACGAGGTTACAATCGCAACGTTCTTTTTAGAATCCTTTAAAGCATTACTGATATTTTATTTTTTATTGATTTAAATCTACATTTAATATATAAAATTTTACTCTCTTTTATATTATATTGATACTTTTAAATAATTTTGTTCATAAATTGATTACTCGAATTAATTTTATTTTAATATATTTAATAAAAGTGTTTACCATCTTACCAAAACACGTTTTATCTTTATTTGTATTTTGTCTATTAGAAGCAATTTACAGCTCATATTTTCGGCGTCAGCACGTGGAATCTAATAGATAAAGCAACGATCAGCTGCAGGCGAACCCATGGGAAACCATAGCCCAAAGGAGGTTGAAAACAATCATTGGAAGGTTTAATACACACTTTGCCCCCCTAACATTTACCTGTTTTCCATCTTTATACTTCATATATTTTTGGTTAATAGTGTCTTAATGTTGTGTTATTCCTAAATATTTTAAGTTCAAACACAACATTTCATATGAATGTTTGAGCGTCTTTCAAATAGATAATACCTTATAATAATCATAGTAATAAAAAATATCATTATTAATTATATATATTTATAAAAATATAATAATTATAACATAAATTGTAATATATTACAAGAATTTATTTATAGCATTAATTAATATAGTTAGAATTTTTTTAAATCTGAAATATGTGTTTTTTTATTGATTTTTAGATGAATTTATATTTGTTTTTACTAATATTTTGATATTTAATTCTTATCAACATTTTATTTTAATTAAAAAAACATTGATCATTTGTATATAACCTAAAAATAATTAAGTTTAAGCAAACTTTTGATGAACTGAAAACAATATATAACATCAGCATGCAAATTTATAATTAGTTTTCTATATGACTTGTTATTAAAGAAAAAGAACATGGAGAGATAAAGTCAACAACTTAAAAGTTAAAATCAACAAGTTTGACTTTGGCAGGCTCCAACGCAACCCACCCGCAGCGGAGTGAAGCCCAAACACCGCGTAGACATGGCTCTAAAGTTGAATTCGGCCGTTTCAAAAAGTTAATACCCAAAATAACCTCCATAAGCAGTCAAATTTTCGACTCCTCCCTCCTCTCAACTAAGTTAAAATTAAAATCCGCGTGTTTCCGCAATATCTTTCCAAGCCATGTCCAAGTAATATCTCCACAGACCAACTTTCCAAAACTAGAATGTTGTGTCCTTATATCACTGCAAAAGAAGATATTCAAATATACCTTCATTTATTAGCTCTGAAGAACTTGTATATAAGTTAAGCCATTGCAAATTCTGTCCCTTTTCCTTCTCTTTGGTTTTAGTGCTTATAGATTTTGAATAAGAAAAAAGACCCTAGTTTTGTTATTTTGGCTGTTTTTGAAAGTAAAAAATATGATGGTGGCTTGATGTTGATGTTTTAGACTTGTTCGTTTCTGGGTTTCAAGCCCTTTGGTTCCTTTGTTCAAACAGGTATGCTTTTGAATCTTATGTTTGGAGGGGGGAAGGGTATATTTTGAAGAAAAAAGCTTCATCGTTTGATTTGATAAATTTTGAAGAAGAAAAAAAAACTTCTTTTACGAAGTTCTTTAAGTTGATTTTCTGCATTTCAGGTTCTGGGAAAAAGTTTTCTTTTTGCTGATTAAGGAAAAGGCCAAATAATGGCGAGTGACCCGCGTATCAATAGAAGAACACCCACGATTCACCATATAATAAACTCGGCTGGTGATATCGACAATGAAAACGACATCGTAGATTCCGGTAGATATACAGTTCATCTTCCTCCTACACCTGATAACCAGCCAATGCCGATGGAAATCGCTATGCAACCAGTTGGAACCGATGATCAATACGTTTCGGTTTCCATGTTTACCGGCGGTTACAATCGCATTACTCGTGCTTACTCCAAGAAGATCATAAACTCCGATCCGGCGACGGTGGTTGCAGAAGGGTCGTTTTGTGAAATACCTGGATGCGGTTCCAAGATGATGACCAATCTGCAAGGCATAGATGTGTTCCCGTGTGAATGTGGTTTTAGGATTTGTAAGGATTGTTATACAGATGCTATTGCAACGGGTGATGGGTTTTGTCCTGGATGTAAAGAGCATTATAGGGTGTTGGATGTGTGCGAAATGGTGCCGGATAGCAACTTGCTGTTGTCGAAATCCAGCCGAAGGTTGCCGGTTGTGGAGTCGACAGATCTCTTGATGAGGAGTCATAGTAATGAGTTTGATTATACTCAATATTTGCACGAAACGAATCAGAGTTATGGGTATGGGAATGCTGTGTGGCCGAATGATTGTGCCGACCGAAACACCGATGAGTCCGGCAGTGACCGTAAGCTATTCCCGGAGAAGCAGTGGAAGCCTCTTACACAGAAATCAAGCATACGTGCTGCAATCCTAAGTCCATACCGGTGTGATTCTTTAGTTCTTATTATGAACAATGATTCAACTTGGAGATTGGATGATTTTACAGCTTTGTTAAATAGTAGGAACATGATAATTTTAAAGCTCACTTTTAAGTTCGATTCTCTGTCGATTTTGCTTGCAGGCTCCTAATCCTTTTTCGAGTTGTGGTTCTTGGATTATTTTTACAATGGAGAATCAGCCATCCAAATGAAGATGCAATCTGGTTGTGGTTTATGTCCGTGATTTGTGAGATATGGTTTGCCTTTTCTTGGCTGCTTGACCAGCTTCCTAAGCTCTGTCCCCTTGATCGTGCTGTTGATCTCGATGCTTTACTAGAGAAGTTCGAAAAGCCGAGTTCGAATAATCCTTCAGGAATATCTGATCTACCAGGCATAGATATTTTTGTTTCTACTGCGGATCCTGAAAAAGAACCACCTCTTGTCACTGCAAATACCATTCTTTCCATTCTGGCAGCCGAATACCCGGTTGAGAAGCTTGCATGTTATGTTTCAGATGATGGAGGTGCTCTATTAACGTTTGAGGCCATGGCAGAGGCTGGCAGTTTTGCCAGAATTTGGGTTCTTTTCTGCAGGAAACATGAAATTCAGCCCAGAAATCCAGAGTCATATTTCAATCTAAAGAGAGATCCTTACAAGAACAAAGTGCGACCGGATTTTGTACGAGACCGCAGGCGGGTAAAACGTGAATATGATGAATTTAAGGTCAGGATCAATGGTCTTTCTGATTCAATTCGACGACGTTCTGATGCCTTTAATACGAGGGAGGAGGTCAAGATATTGAAGCGTTGGAGAGAGGACAATAGTGATGAACCAATGGAAACTTTGAAGATTCCAAAAGCTACTTGGATGGCTGATAGAACCCACTGGCCTGGTACTTGGACAGTTCCTGCTCCGGAGCATTCGAGGGGTGATCATGCCAGTATCATACAGGTAAGAATTCAAGAAGAGCTTCTCTTCAGTTGGCATTCCTTTGAATCGATAGCGGAGCATTTATTTTATGTTTTTTTCGATTGCTCATGGTTAATTCCTTTTTATTTTTTAATATAATCTTAGAACGATTTTGTTAATTATTTCTAATGATGGTATGATTATGTCAACTAAGATACTGAACTCGGATTGCAGGTGATGTTGGACCCTCCCCATGGCGAGCCTCAAAACGGTACAGAAGGTGATGGAAATTCCATGGATCTGAGTGAGGTTGATATTCGTCTGCCAATGTTAGTTTATGTTACTCGTGAGAAGCGACCTGGTTATGATCACAACAAGAAGGCAGGGGCCATGAATGCGCTTGTTCGAGCTTCTGCAATCATGTCCAATGGCCCCTTCATACTTAATCTTGATTGTGACCACTACGTTTACAATTCCCTAGCATTGAGAGAAGGAATTTGCTTTATGATGGACCGAGATGGGGAGCGTATTTGTTACGTCCAGTTTCCCCAGAGGTTTGAAGGAATCGATCCATCTGATCGCTATGCCAATCACAACACAGTTTTCTTTGATGTTAACATGCGAGCTCTTGATGGACTTCAGGGTCCGGTATATGTTGGAACAGGATGCCTCTTTCGTCGCACTGCCCTCTATGGTTTTGAGCCACCTCGGTTAGAAGATAAGCCTGGTTGCTGCAGCTGCTGCTTTCCGCGTCGTAAGAAACCTGCAATTGTTGCTTCCGCCCCTGATGTTGACCCTGAAGATGTTCAGTTGAGGGAAGATGATGAAATGAATATTGCTCTCATTCCTAAGAAGTTTGGAAACTCGAGTTTACTTATTGAGTCCGTCCGGATTGCAGCAATTCAAGGCCAGCCCCTTGCAGATCATCCTTCTGTCAAATATGGGCGTCCACCCGGTGCTCTCACTGTGCCTCGGGAGCCCCTAGATCCATCCACAATTGCAGAGGCAATCAATGTTATCTCGTGCTGGTACGAGGACAAGACTGAATGGGGACAAAGTGTAGGGTGGATTTATGGATCAGTGACAGAAGATGTTGTTACAGGGTACAGGATGCATAATCGAGGGTGGAGATCTGTTTATTGCCTGACCAAAAGAGATGCTTTTCGTGGCACTGCTCCGATAAATCTGACTGATAGGCTTCACCAAGTTCTTCGTTGGGCCACCGGCTCGGTCGAGATATTCTTCTCACGCAACAATGCTCTACTAGGCAGCCCAAGGCTTGAGTTTCTGCAGAGGATTGCATATCTTAACGTTGGGATATACCCTTTCACTTCCATATTCCTCATTGTCTACTGCTTCCTTCCCGCCCTTTCGCTATTTTCGAATCAATTCATAGTCCAGACACTCAATGTGACATTCCTCGTTTACCTCTTGGTCATCACCCTGACCCTTTGTGCTCTAGCGGTGCTAGAGATCAAGTGGTCCGGCATTGAACTAGAAGAGTGGTGGAGGAATGAGCAGTTTTGGTTGATTGGAGGCACCAGTGCTCATCTTGCTGCAGTGCTCCAGGGGCTATTAAAGGTGATCGCCGGCATCGAAATATCATTCACCCTGACATCAAAATCAGCCGGTGACGAAGTGGATGATGATTTCGCCGATCTCTACATCTTCAAGTGGACATCTCTCATGATACCCCCACTCACCATCATATTTGTTAACTTGATCGCCATTGCGTACGGAGTTATTCGTACGGTATACAGTACGAATCCCGAATGGAGTCATCTGCTAGGAGGTGTGTTCTTCAGTTTCTGGGTATTGGCTCATCTCTACCCATTCGCAAAGGGTCTTATGGGAAGACGAGGGAAAACTCCGACGATCATATACGTTTGGTCGGGACTTATAGCTATCTCTATTTCTCTACTGTGGGTGGCGATCAAGCCCCCGTCGCAAAATTCTGATATTGGAGGGTCATTCCAATTACCATGATTTACTCGACTTTGTACTCCCCATATGAATTGTTTTAACAGGGGGAAGGTTGCACATTTGTATACTCATTTCTTTGAAACTTAGATATATGTGATTCGTTGATATTCGAGATTATATTCAATCGAGTCCCATCCCATAAATGGATCATGGCATGAAATGAAATGAAACCACATGCAGCCAGCCATGGTATGTGCTCGATACTGGTCGCAAATGAAGCAATATTCCAGCTTGCTTCTTATGGAATCTATTGAACATATTGGATCGATTACACAACAAGGAAGTTTTGCTCCTGGGTTAATGACATACGACGTAAGAGGACGGCTAGTACATATGATGCTGTCTGATCTTCTGCATGGCAGCAGCTTGCCGTTCTTGGCATTAAGAAGAACCTGCGGCTCTGGAGCCAGGCATCCTTGTCCTTGCAGGTAGTGATGTTGGGATATTCTTGGATGGGGATCCGTAGAGCAACCCTCGAGGACCAGCTCTCTAAACTCAGCCGTGAAAGGTGCATAGTCGTAGTTAACTTTGATTTTGCCACCACCGACCACCGTGGCCCAGCTCGAGGCATCCCAACTGATGGCGTATAAAGACGTGTTTGAACTAACTTTGATCACCAATAAGGGACAACACAAGTGCCATCTTATTCGTCAACATTTTTTTTAGATTACCAATAAGGGACAACACGCGTGCCATCTTATTCGCCAACATTAAAAAAAAAAAAAGGAGCACATTTGCCTGCCCATACTAGAAAAGTCGTAACAGTTAACCAATAGGGTTGGTTACCCGTTGATATACCCCAATAACAATAATAACCATTTCAATCAAAATTGTGTTTTGGTTGCAAGAAAACAAAGATCTTGTATAATCTTTATCAAACTTAATAAAGGTATACAAATAAACATAATGTAATATAATCTTTCTAAACCAGCTCAAATTCAAAAATCAACAGAACAGTCCGCACATGATTTTGTAATTGACTACCAATAGAAACAGTGAGTCATGGATCCGTTGGCAAGATGCCTGATGATTTGCTCTGTTTTCCCTGAAGAGAATGTACATAAAAGACCTCCTGAGAAGGGAAAGACGACACTCGGGTTCCAAATTCTAAAGCAAACCTCAATAACATGGATAGATTAGATTGATTGAAAGATGCATACCTTCTTTTTCAAGATGTTTTGATATCCCGAGATGAGTGTTGGAGCGAATTTGAATATGTCAATAACTCTTGGAGTTTTCCTCTGAAATGAATATATTGGCACGGTCAATTCCATCGAAATCCGTCTTTGGAAGCTACAGTCATTCTATCTAAAGAATAGTTTGGCTTCTCGTGCTGCAAGCAACGAAGTTGTAGATGTTACCCAACATGGAAACGGACAACATTTTCAAATAGAGATGTCCCACACTGTAGGGTCCGAAGTTGGCTAAATGCTGGCATATATAAGCAACTTCCATGATCATCTTAATCTTGATAATCTTTTCCGTTTCCGATTCCGATTCCTCTGCAGATTCTTTGCAACACCCTTCGAACTAGATGCAAGTGCAGGAAGGGAAGCTGGTATACCAACAAATGTTCTTCCTTTCTTAGAAACCCATTTCAATGGCATATTATTTACCACAACGCCAATATCATATGAATTATTCAGTTCAACAAGTTGTTTGATTTGATCAAGCATCCGGTGGGTCCAGGCAACTGACTCATCTAAACCAATTGAGTCGTCCATTGGTTTCTTCCAAATATCGATTAAAATCTCCCTGAATGACCAAGAAGACATGGAAAGTTTGTAGCCTTTGGCATTTTCACAGATCATATTGACCTTGATGACATGCTTGCAAAAGTTTCCTTGCATGGACCATGCACAGTCGCAGAAAGCAAAGTCTGATCCAGGGTTCCAAACTAAATACGTTCTGCTGCTGTCTTTCTGACTGGTTACCTTCGCAAATAGGTGGTTCTTATCGTCTAATGTAACAGCAGAATCAGGAATTTGCAGCGCCCGATGCCAAGATGTAGATGCAATGTATTCCTCCTTGACATTTAGAAAAGAATCACTTTCGTCTGCATACCGGTCAAGCCAATATGCTGAATGCAACTCAGTTGTCAGCTTGTGTACTAACCAGTCGACTCTCTGAAGTGCACCGAGATGTGAATCGTCAAACAATTTTGTTTTCAGCTTCACATGATAGGCTTCTATGGCACCAGATGCCTCCTGGCTTGCAAGTGGAAGAGTTCTCATTGTTGAAAGCCACATTTCTGTTAAACCAATATAAACGCAAGTATGAGACAAAGGAATCTTCATTACATAGCCACATTTGCGTATATGTAATAGCGAGAGATCTAACCAATTTTAGGCACCCAAGTGGATTTGAAATACTCCATGAAGGCAGACTGATCGACAAAATCCAGAAATAACTCTTCCAAGGCAACGGAAGAGTTTGCACCACTCCAAATGCTGTAAACTATTTCTCCCAGGTGCTTAAAAAGTTCCCTCTGAACTTCAATGTTGGAACATTTCTTAACAACATTCCTCAACCAAGATCTACGAACACGCCAAATGGAAAAAAGGATAGGACAGCTAAACGCATCCCTGATAAAACAGACAAAACAGGAGTAAGAAAGTGAAAACACTTTATTCAAGCCAAACTTTCAGATAAAAAAATATCCTGCCTGATGGGATCAATCTCCATAGCTGCATCATCAATCAAAAAACCATTGATCTTCCATCCGGGATCTACACTCCGAGCTCGGTCAAGAAGGGCTTTCATCCATTTTGCCATGTCTGGCTTTGCAACGCTGTGGGTGATGACCCATGCAACAGGTAATGCATGTTGTCTTGAATCAAAGACAAGAAGAGTGCATAAAGGGTACTGCATTCAGAAACACCATAATGTAATACTAACTGAAATAGCTTTTTAAAAGATCTGAACAAACACGAAACAACCATTTTATTACCTTGAGTCTTTTAATACCAAATGTTGAATCAGCTGCTATGAGACTGCGATGGCCAAATCGAACCATCTGTTGCAACTGCCATTCTGTTTGAATCCCAAGAATGAAAGGATCTGTCTCAGAAGTGCCCTGATAGAAAAATATAGATTTCTTATTGCGTTCAACCCACATCCGAATGCTAGCTTGATCATCTAGATCTAACTCATGAGTAGACCTCTTAATGATCATCCCAAGTTTACGGACATATTGGGAAGCAAGGGTGCTAACTGTTGCATCTGAACCACCATATCGTTGAACATACTCTAAATGTTTCTCCAGCACGTTTTCTTCAGGAATACCCAAATAGATCATGGACATTGTTTGTTGTTGAATCTCATTGGAAATATATGGAATTTTCTTAGCACCGGGGCCAATGGCATCTTTGTCAAGGGGTCCATGGCAAACGAAGCCAGATTTGTTTATATGGCGTCTCTCATTGAATATAATAAGTGCAAGCGATGGACGAGCATAAAGACGTTTGACTACAAAATGGCATGTGCATCCTCGCATGGATTGAGGTCTAGCAGCCCGATTTCGGGTGTTTAGACGATATCTTCGACTAGGTAATACACCTCCACCTTCACCATGATTTTCAGGACCGAAGGAACACCAATATCTTCACACATACAAGGAAAACATAAGAACAAATGTTTATTCCCAGGTTGAACTCATATTAATGAGACAATGAATATCATATCTTCTAACACTCAGAATATATCAGGTTTTTGTTACATATAAGATAGAATCAATCAAAAGAGACATTAGAAGAACGCAGAATGGGAAACATTGTTAAGCATGTTTTGAACTTACAGTCTATATTCCAAATATTCATCACTCTTATACTCCTTTAAACTGCCCATTGATCGTTTCCGCCCCCTTTCAATATGAAATCGTGTTGGGCATTCCACATTGCAGCATTCTCCAATTATAAATTCATCTACTCGAGCATAAGGAATGAGTGCTACATCATCATGGTGCTCAGCTGTGCCAAACTTTGTCCAAATCAAATCAGCAGAAGAGAACTCCTGTTCTGCTGGATCTTGTACTGGAAGATTGAGTATTGATTCAACTATCTCCATCTATGTATTTCTATGTTTAAAATCTACTATTGCGCCAACATGGCATCAAACCTGCAGAACAGGAGAAATGTTTCCCAAAAACATGAATTAAAAACCAGTTAGTAATTTATGGTTCCCCAAATATAACTTATATCTTCACAAAGGAGAAATGTTCAACAAAAACAAAAGGGGATCAATTGATCATCCAGCGAACAAATGAAAAATCTTATTATTGAAAGTCTCCAACTACACCATTAAAGCCGAACGATGTGCATTTCTTTTCTTCAATAACACTTCAACTTAAAGTAAGCAAAACAAAAGGCTGCAAAACTATGAAGCATCACTTCTAGACCACTTATCAAATACAAATAGTGCAATAGTAGGACATTAAGAAAGCTTGATATTCACACAAAGACACACACATATATATATGTATATTTGCAATTTTGTACATGACCCAAATACATGAAAATATATATTGAATGAAGCTAAACATATCAAAATGATGAGAAATACTACCATTTGAAGATTATGTTCATCGCTTTTCTCTCAAACTATCTCAAAATCAAACAAAGACCAGCCATTCACCAAACAAGAGTAATCTATTGAACTTCAAGCTTCATTATTTATGCACATAACAGACTCCTCTTAACATAGATTAATTGTTTACTCTCTCACCAAAAGAGTAAATTGCCCCACTAAAACAAAAATGATTAAATTGCTAAAAGTAAAAGTAGGTTGAATGAGACAACTTTAATAACTCCAGAAACAGATAACCAACCCAATTTTATACAGCTCAACAACGTAATTCCCAAAAAAATCGAAACACGATTGAGTAATGGCCTAAAAAATCTTGAATGCCAAACCAAATCCATATCCACATTAAGCCAAAACCAAAGCTTTTCAATTTTTCCAAGCAAGAGCTGAAGGAAGGACATTTACCAAAATATTGAAGCAAAAAGAAAATTAATCAAAACCGAGTTTCAAAGTGATATTTACTCCGACCAAAATAAAAAAAAAATCACATCCACAATCCTTTAGATAAGAAAAAAAAAGAAATAAATAGAGAATAT